GATGCAGTGACAGTGGATTTGGTGTCGGTTGTCGTCCAAGGACAATACCTAAAAATTTGCTGACACCAATTTTCTGTGTCCACTCCACCAAGCACACAATTTCCAACTTTGAGGGAGAATGCCCCTGAATGACTTGAAGGAATAGAATGGCTGGTTGCTCTCAAAAGTGAACTGCAAGCATCACCAGACTTGGATAGCAAACAAAAATTGTTGCCAGCTTTCAAGTCAATGGTACAGCAAAAGGCACAGCCACGTAAGCAATACATGCCCGAGCTTGCTACATTGATGCCGAAAACTACCAGGAAAATTTTCGGATTAGAAGCCAGCCCTGCAGCTTCAGTGCATCAGACGTCAGTGGCCGCACATGACGTACGATTACAAGACAGCATCAGTCGGTCAAAGTCCGACTGATGCTGTCTTGTAACACCGACGTGCCAGGAGCGTCATCCGACAACAAGGTCCACAGGTACTACGACTGAACGCCTGACACCAGACTGTCGCAGAAAGAACTCGTTATGGAACCATTTACTAAGAATCAATAATTATGTAATCAAGTGGAAATAAACATATTTGATACACTAACCAGATAAACATATTTCCGCTTGCCTTCATGCCTTGAGAGTCTACACACCGAGAATTGTGTCCACTGCACGCTCTGGACCTTATGAGGACACTTGCTTCTCTGACCCTTCAATATTAATTAAGGGGTCATACCAGACTGGCAGACTTCTTGCAAGGGGCTGCACCCGTTCAACCTTTCCTGAACATGTGGTGCATCCGAAAAGCAACTCCAGTGATGTGAAAATGTTATTTATTAATTTATTGCTTCCAGGGGCCTTCGTAGGCATTGCAGAGAGGATACTTAAAACTACACACATGATAATAGCATTAAAGCACACTGCTGTAACTTTTTAATTGGAAAAACAAACACACCTCTGAGCATATAGTTTAATAGTATGTGTTGATGCATTGTTATATAGCATGACACTTCCTATATGTATGACACAATAGACCCTTTGCAGAACCTTATCAAGCAACACAACCGTCACCATTTTTTTGCCGTAAAGCACACGAATGGGCCCCAGTTCACGTCGAACGCTAATGCAGCATTCAAGTCCAATAGGTGCTGAGCCGAATTCACAGGGATGGCGGACATAACATTCTTGTCGAACAAATACCCAAAGTATGAAAGCCTGAAGTAATTACAGTAGTAGCTACTGTAATTTGTTTCATTAGAATTTGGCAGACGGCAAAGACTACAGTCTCGGTGAGTCAATACACACATTGGAGAGAGGCACATGACAGCATATCACCAGAGTGCTCGTCTGCACAGATTTGTCACACACCTTCGCTCCGTCTCTCTGATTGGCTCGAGGGGGCTGTGGCGGTTGGCCTTTTCCAAGTTACGGTGATGCGAAGTATAGACAGCCCACACTTTTAAAAAGAGTCTATTGAAGAGACCGAAAGGAATGGTAGTCAACATTTTTCAACAAGACTGCTCTCCAGGCAAGGGATGAACACAAATATGAATAATCTTATCCAGGTAATTAGAACAATTAAATAATTGACCGACTAATACAATGCACTCTTGATGGAAAAGAGTATAGCTGCAATAAATCCTACAAAACATAAAAAATACGCAGTTAATCTATGCATGCACCAAAACAGTTGTTCTTATAGCAAGTCGAATAGCTTTGAAGCAGGTGCCTGCAAGGATTTTTTCTTCCCCATACCCAATAAAACGCCAACCTCGTAGCTGAAAATAAGGGTGCACCTCGCACTCACACATACACAAAAAAAAAAAGGAAGAAAAGCGATCGAACGTAGAATCGTGGATTAGCACAAAAGGTTAAAATCGCAGGAGCTTCCTCGCTAAACGTTGCTATGGTTGTTCGGTGACGGAGGCCTAAGGGAAGTTTAACAACTTCCCTTAGGCCCTAAAGCGTAGATTCTCAGATATTTCAACGTTCAAACAAAGCTAAGAGAATGCGAAAATTTCATGTTAAAAACACTCAAAGTTCTATCGATCCTCGGACACATCCCGGAATCCGAGCACCGGTACGGCGATGCAGAGCTGATCCTGTCTCACAGGTGTTAATATCCAGATGATCCACAGCGATCTTGCGCAAAAACGGTATAAAGTCTCATTCCTTCATATTTTCACATTACACCTGCGTCAGCGAGCACGAAGAAGCCCGAAGTCGTCGGAAAGCAGCTGCACATCACGGCTACCGTGCACCGAACAAACTCGCATCCGCCAGCTCTGGGCGCTGCCATCTTACCCGTGACGTCACGGCTCTTGGAAGGTCACGTGACGAGTGGTCACATTTGCGTAAAATATGGCGGCAACCGGGGGGGGTGCCTGTTCCGAACTTCCGGTTTATCACTCTAAGCCCCTCTACCTCGTTGCGTAGGCGTCACCTTCTCCCCCTCCTTCTTCCTCTCTCTCCGGCACTCACAAACGAAAGACACTCCGGGCTTTTGTGAAAACGATCGAGTGTCCTAATGCTAACGCATAAAAAGTATTTTCGCTGGGGTAGATTTTTTCAAACGTTGCAAACATGCAGATTTGCACACCTATTATACATTTACCACAGATAAGTAATTCGAACACAGATGACACACACCCACAACAGGCACACGACGACACGCTAACCCTATTGCTGTCCCTTAGGCTACCCATGCCTCTTTTATACTAATCTTTTGGATGAAATCGGTTAGTCAGTGACCACCTCGTTCATGAGCGATGTTACACATATGGTGCCGCTTTCGCACGAATATTCTCATCCAATATTTTCGGTAAATATTTCAAGAAATGCATATTTTACGAAGAAGTAACGGTACAAACATTAATTATTAGCGACAGTTTGTAAAACAGCGTCCCTATAGGTTCCCAGAAGCCATGATGTCGCATCCCCGCATAGCAGCTGCAGTTACTACCTGTCGCGCGTTTGAGGTAGCAAATAAGGAAGATGTAGTAACGCTCAGAAACATTTCGGAACTGCTGCAGTTACTAGCGTTTTATTATCTTTTTTTCTAAGAGTGTATTGTACTCGCGACGTGTTATGTCACATCGCAGACTTTATTTTTACATCCAAGCGTACGTATTTTTGGCTTTTCGTTCGCCAACACACCTACCTACTATTCAACCGCTGTGAACGGCTTTCTTATTGATCTGTGAAAACGCGAGACAGAGTCAAAACGTAACCAGAATTTAGCTGTGAAAAAATAAAAAAATTAAAAAATATACTGCTGCGCGGCAAATAGGCTTTGACGCACCCCAAGAGGGAGCTGTGTACGCCTGCCTGGCGACCTTTCACGTAAACACAGTACGTCCAAACTGACCGCCCCCTTGTTAACATGTACCAAGGACGAGCAGCGTCCGGTTATTCGATTTTTGGGCGCAGAGGGCGAGAAACCTGCGGATATTCTTCGCAGCGTGCTAAAGCAGTACAGAGACGCCTGCGTATTGCTTTGCCAGGTGTACGAGTGGCACAAAAAGTTACCAAGTTGAGCGTCCACTTTGACAGACGCACCTCGCTGCGGCTGGGATCCTTCAATGACACAGGACTATATCTCTCCTTTGGAACGGCCCAAACACGAGAACCAGCGTGTCACCATAAATGAAGTGACTAACTAATTGTATATTAGTCACGGATCGACGCATTATGTCATTCATGATGTTCAGCAGCACAACAAAGTATTCGCCAGGTGGGTACCAAAACAACTTAACCTGGACCATAAGGAGGGGTGTGCGTATGGTTGTGAGTCGCTACTGCAGCGCTACGGAGTCTAGGAAGATGATTTTCTTCAACGAATTATCACCGGTGACGAATGTTGGGTAGACTACGCCCAGCCAGAGACAAAGCGAGCAAGCAAGGAGTGGTGACACACAACGTCAACAAGACCGAAGAAGTTTAAGACAGGGCCAACGGAGGGCAAGTAAATTTTCACGGTTTTTTGAGACAGTAACGGCACAATACTTGAACATTACATTCCCAAGGAGCTCACTGCGAACAGCGTATCACACGGCAACCTGCTTGAGAACCACTTGAAACCTGAAATCAGGTCAAACCTTCGCTTAATGCTCAGCTCAGGGATGTTGCTGCAGCACGACAATTAGCGCCCTCACACGGCACGTACGACAGCGGAAAAAAAATCAAAGGAATGCTGTTCGAGTGTAAAGCGCACGAACCATACTCACCAGACTTCGCACCGAGGGATCTTTACTTATTCGGACCTCTCAAAGGGGCTCTCGGGGGAAAGAAGTTTGATACAGATGATGACCTGAAAGCGGCGGTGCATTACTGGCTCCGAAGTCAGCCACAATAGTTTTTTTTTTTCCGAGGCACGATGAACTGGTGAAACATTGGTGCACATGTGTCGAGCAAAGAGGTGACTATGCCGAAAACTAATAAAGGACTCTCCACAATATCTATATTTTCACGCAAATAAACACGAAAAATTGCAGTTATTTTTTGACTCTGCTTCGTATAAACACCTGGCCATTTGTTTAGAGAGTAGACGCCTTCAGAGCGTATATCGCTCAAAAGAAGAATCCTTAGTCATTGGGTTTCGAACACATGACCGTCGTCTTATGTTTAACAGGAGAGACTCACTTAGCATGCTCAGAACACGCTCCACAGACAAGCAGAAACATAGTACTGGAAAGAATAGTATATAAGATTACTTTTACTTGAAATTCGTTGACGGAAATCATTGTATTCCTACGTTGCGGCTTGTGGCTTGAGCGGCAGTAAACGCAAAGCTTTGCCCATTTATATTTGGAAGTCCCACCGACAGCAGATACAAACCAAGAGTAGAAAGCTCTTTCTCGTTCTTAAAGCTTTCAAGAAAAAGCATCATTAAATCTTGAACAAGCATAAACCGAATATAACCGTTCTTTCGCTATAACTAAATGTTGGTGTCTGTTTGGGAATGCCGTAAAAAACCGAGTATAATGCTGTTGTAGAGTGATTGAAGTCGCTTGTTTCTCGCAGGACCAAGACCCTTACAGCATGGGCCCCCTAGTGGTTGATGCTGCCCGGAGCACCCTGCTGGGGCGGTATACGCTGCTGCCGTATCTCTACACGCTGTTCTACAGAAGTCACACAATGGGCGAGACTGTCGCGAGGCCTCTCTTCTTTGAGTACGCAGAGCCCGTCCTTCCTTCTGTAACGTCAATACCGCAATTTCGTGGTTATAATTAAGGTTGCGTGTTCTCTTTACATGCACATAAGACTCGAAAATCAGCACCAATATTCGTTTTCTCAATATCTAAAAACAAAGAATAAAAAAAAACACTCCTGGGATTTTCTTTAGATTAGAAAAAGGCGTTTTCTGAAGTTTATTTGTTAAACCCTAAACACACACGAGCGCGTAGCGCGTTAACAGAAACGAGTTACTTCTATGTAGCTACATTTCTTTGGTAACGAGTAATGTCATCAGTTGCATTTATAAAAAAAGAGCGAGTAACGTAGTTGGTTACTTTAAAAGCCAAGTACTGAGTAACGGTATTTAGTTAATTTGAAAGAGTTCTAACTTTGGCGTGCCTCTATTGCGACAAAGGCAGATGAGCAGCCAGAAAAACAACTCGCAGCTTTTATTGCTGAACACGCCAGTCGAACTCTACAGCTGGGAATGTCGCTCACATAGAGAACACAATAAGGTACGTGGGTTAAACCTTCTAGAATCGTGTACAAACCGAATGTAAACTCGAATATTGCCCACGCGGAAAGGCACAAAACCCATTGTCAAGTTCGAACTTTAGAACCAGAGAAAACGCAGGAGAGAGTAGAATCCCATTTTCACTAGCTCTTGCTACAGCACAACTTTTCCGGTTTTTTTAGAGCGCGTTTTTAGAACGACTCTTCTGCATAGCCAGTTATGCATTCGAAGAAAGCAGGAAAGCATAACCGATAAAAACTTCGAGATTAAGCTACTGCTTAAAGGGACACTAATCAGTAAACATAAATTTTTTTATCATGATCCGAAACGATTGAAAACAATGCCTGTACATTATTCTCAAAGTTTGGAACATGGGAACACAGTTTTAAATTCACGATATCCAACAGACCGTTCACGTAAATTATAGTGGTCACTAGGACGCTCTAAGTCGAGAATAGAGTTGTTCAATATCAGAAACTGTGGTTTATTAAAGGTTAAACAATAAACAAACAACTAAGAATACACGTAATGTCGATACATGACAGTATAGTCGAAGAATATTTCTCTGAGTTGACTTTAACTTTTTGACCGCAGAATACTGAGGAAAGAAGTTATAAACCGTTAAAGAAGAACCAAAACGACATTCAAGGTGCAATTGCACCTTAAGTGCAACGATTAAAAATAAAACAATGAAACAAAAGCAGTTGAGTATTTGTCGTCAAAGTAACGAGAAAAGTAACGCGTTACATTTGATGAAAAGTTTCACGTTCCGTATGAGAACCGGCAACGAGTAACGTTTTCAGCTACTTCTTCAGCGAACAGAGAGTAACGATAATTAGGTAATGATATTGTAGTGAATGCGCAGGCGAGCTGGTGGATGTTAACGATTTTGTTCTTAGCCCGAGACTGAGGAGGGAAAAGAGGAAAAACGAGCAGTCGAAGGCAGTCCTCGACTGTTCATTTTTCTTCTACTTTCAAACTTTCCTCTTTTCCTGCCTCAGTCTCGGGCTCAGGACAAAGTGGGTAATTAGTTGCTTTTTTGTGTAACACGTATCTACAGCTCAGCCTAAACGCAGCCCCCCATAGACCGTCTGTGAGGCTGCTTCTATCTATCGAAACAATACCTTTTTGTTTATTTTCCAGGCTCTTATGACCAGCCTTACGTTTTTATTGTTTTAAGGTTTCTTTTCACGCGTATTCTCCTGTGTGGTGTAGACTCGCATGTCCTTGTTTTCTCGTCTTCATCATTACCCTCAGCAATGGCGATCTTTTGTCCGGCGGCAAAAATTAACTCCCAAGAATACCGGATCGGCGAGAAAAAAAAAACAACTACCAGAAAAACGCCCTCGCCTTAATTGAACGGAAATAAACCCCTAATACACGAAACCCTAGTGATAAGCGCGTTTCCAAAGAAAAAGTGTTTTTGTTGTTTTCGTTATTGTACTTGTGTCACGAATGAAACGCCGTCACACTTTAACTCGCTTTTCGATACTTTCTTCAACCCTATCGTCAGTTCACAACTTATTTACTACATAGTTACAGGTATTTAGTTCGTCTGGTCAGCTAGCTGACGGCGATCGCTCAGTATTTTTCAATCAGTTGGCAACTTTATTTTGGGGAGGGAGGAATGCTAGGATACCGGAGTGGTTTTAGTTAAAATATTGGAAACATAACAAGAAACTACCCTATCAAGTTTTTGTTTTGGTACAGATGAAATAATACACATATTCTCCGGTAATTTGAAACATGGCTCGCAATTTCAAATAATATATCCTGGTTACTATTTTTGGACCATTGATACTCAGTGCCGAAAATTCAACGCAATGTAATAGTGTCCGAGAGTTTTATCACTAGATATTTTGAAATGGCGGTATTCGAAGCAATTTTATAAAAAAAACAAAAAAAAACAGAGCAGCTTGGCGAAATACAAAACTCAGGGTGTGCACTTGAAAGCAACATTGCTTTTTAGGAAGACTGGAAGCCAGTGAAATATATATATTATTAAGTATTTATCGTAAATTTTAAAATCTTTACATTATAAGAAACTTCCTACCGTGCAATGCATAAGCACTGTCAAATGCAGACATATATATGATATTCAACTGTCTCATCTTTGTGCGTAAGTTTATATTTGATAGTCAGATCTCACACTCTAGCGACCTACGTATAATTGCGCTTTAAACTTGCTTTGATTTCCAAAGACACCATTACCGGTAATACTCAGGATTACTTAGCTGAAATATTTAGTGATGGTTACGAGCAGTAAGTTACCATCGTTGTAGATACCTATTTCTGTTCTTTACAAAAAAACACCGCAAACATCCTTTGTAAACCAAGAAATAAGAAAGAGAGAAGTACTATGATTGATCAGGCACAACGTGTCAAGCTCTTTGTTTGTGCAGCGAATGCTACAATAGCACGCACTGTTGCAACATCTGGGACGCTGCAACAACAATAATTTGATATAAATTAAATAACATAAAACACGTATTCTTAATAAGTTAAACCTCCTTCGCCCCTGTGCTTTCAAATACAAAAAAAAAACTACAAAAAACTTCTTAGGGGTGACGATACGCGACGTTTGTACCTGCAGGTTTCCCGAAGACCCGAACACCTACAGCATCGATGAACAGTTCCTATGGGGTCCCAGTCTGATGTTCAGCCCTGCCTTATACCCGGTGAGTGTATGATAGGGATTCATCCGTCGCTTCTGCCTGAAATCACGTGAGATTCTTGGCAATAGATTCACAGAAGCTCTGAAGTAAAATTCTCTCGAATGCCTGGAATGCATGGAATGCTTAAATGCCTCGAATAAATGCAACTGCCACAAAAACATACCTTAAAAAATGTGTCCATTATATAGGTTGAGGCATTTGTTTCGGATGACACGAAGTGTTTCTCCAGAGTCACTATACTGGGGACGACGAGCAAAAACAGAAGCATGTATTGGAATCTCTCCTTACTCAAAGTGAGCCAAAATAAATAAAAATATCCCGCTAATTCATTGTTCGCGCAAATATATATATATATTTTTTTTTCGGGTACATTTTATTTTATGCCCTAATATTTTTATTATTTTTTATGTCTTTAGAAACAATTCTGAAATATTCGCATTTTTCGGATTGACGTGCCAAATTATCGAAATCTGTCTGGATTAAAATCAAACGTCTCCCGTAACGGAATTATTGTCAGAAATATTTTTTTTTTCTGTGGAAGTTTATTTTGACATACGTATCCTAGCCTGGCACTTAAGAAAACAATTTTTTCAAGTTCAATGTTTTAGATAAATTCTTCCCAACTATCATAATCTTTTTATATTTAATTTTGTCCAGAACGCCGCCGTGTCTCTATAACATTTACCACCTAACTGACACTTTCCTGGGGCACAAACGTCTACTTTAAACGACTATAGCGGGAGGCAAGGCCGAGACTAGATTTGTTGACACAATGAAATGCCCTATACAGGAACCGCTTGGCAGGACAATATTGAAACAGCTCTTCTAGGTTCTGTTAACTTTCCAGGTTTTCCTATTCCTTTGATTCAGCACTGTATTTCTTTCTTATATGTATATATATATATTCACAAGATACTTGCCTTTATAGGCGATGGTGGTCCAGGGTCGCCAAAAAATTGATCTACAGATACGTTTCGAGCCTACCAGGCTCGAAACGTAACTGCAGATCACTTTTCTGGCGACCTTTGACGACTATCTCCTATAAGGGCAAATATTTTGTGAACATATTTCTCTCGAGTGCCTTCTTTTTATTCCCCAGGTGCTGTTCCTATATATATATATATATATATATATATATATATATGTAAAACTGAGAAGAAAAAAAACTTTAGTGAAAAACAGCAACAACGGACGATTTAATCTTCGACGTTTCGGCCGGAGTCCGGCCTTCGTCAGGAAGAACTTTTACAGATGAACGCGGGTGGTATTTATACAGTACTACGGTCGAGTCCAAATTTCGGCGGGGTGACGGTTGGAGCTTTCGAGAGAGGGAAGCGTAGGGCAGTTCTTATCCGGGCGAAGAAGCTTGACGGTCGGTGCCAAGTTTCAAGGACGGCGGGATGACGGTTGTAGCTTCTTGAAAGGGGGCGCAGGGTGACTTTGTGTCCGGGCCGGCAGCGGTGACCTATATAGACGATAGCGTACAATAAACGAAAGTTACACGCGCAAACTAAAGTGCTGTCTCAAAAAAAAATAAAAAAATAAAAAAAAAATAAAAAAAATGAAAGGGCGGCACGGTCACTTTTGTGCATGCAGGCATGCATGAGTCAAACCTGAAAGGGAACAATGTTAAACCTAGAAGTAAAAAGAAATACAATGGATATGTTTTGTAGATTTTGTTGTTAACAGTGGTACTGTGTTTGGGGCCGGAACTGGACCATCAACTTCTCTTTTATTTCCAGGTTCTGATGTCTATTGTATTTCTTTTTACTTCTAGGTTTAACATTGTTCCCTTCCAGGTTTGACTCATGTATGCCGGCATGCACACAAGTGACCGTGCCGCCTTTTTTTTTTTTTTTTTGAGACAGCACTTCAGTTTGCGCGTGTAACTTTCGTCTATTGTACGCTATCGTCTATATAGGTCACCGCTGCCGGCCCGGACACAAAGTCACCCTGCGGCCCCTCTCAAGAAGCTACAACCGTCATCCCGCCTTCCTTGAAACTTGGCACCGACCGTCAAGCTTCTTCACCCGGATAAGAACTGCCCTCCGCTTCCCTCTCTCGAAAGCTTCAACCGTCACCCCTCTGAAATTTGGACTCGACCGTAGCATTGTATAAATACCACCCGCGTTCATCTGTAACAGTTCTTCCTGACGAAGGCCGGACTCCGGCCGAAACGTCGAAGATTAAATCGTCCGTTGTTGCTGTTTTTCACTAAGGGTTTTTTTCTTCTCAGTTTTATATATATATATATATATATGCCTTTCCTTCGAAGGGGGCATTTGTGGCGTGGGAAGCCCAATCGTCAGTGCGCGGGACTGCGCGCCGCTGGGCCTGGGACACGAGACTCGGGTAGCGCGTGCTGATGTACATCTCGATCAGGAAACAACCGGCATTTGTCTTTTTCTTGAAGCGACCAAAAACACCTTCACAATATATATATATATATATATATATATATATATATATATATATATATATATATATATATATATATATATATATTCCTAGATTACGGAAATATTGGAGGTGTAGAAAATCAAAAATACAGTGGCCCAATTTTTTTAATATTATCAAGCGAGCGTCACCGCTGGGAAGGCCAGCGCTGTGCCGCGGAGTAATGCAGCGTCACGGGAGAGATTAGGCGTGTGCGCACGAAGCTGTTTTTTTTTTGCGAGCGTCGGTTGCTAGGCTATTCCGTTGACCGCACACAGCCCCTGTTCATTATCTGCTGGCATAGCTAACAGCCTTTATGCAAAGATCTGAACAACGCTTGCTTTTATTTTCTCTTTGTTTCGATACTGCTGAGGCGTTGCATAAACCACCCGTCATCTCGAGTTTGATTTTTTTTTTTGTAACTTCATGTTGTCGTTTACTTTGGAGAACACCTACAAAAATAAAAAAAAAATACGGTGAGGCGACAGACAGAATGAAACGATGCATGAAAACATATACCGCAATCAATCCTACGAGCAATCAAAACTAATCCAGTGCTTTCAGCCTGCCACGTGACATCGTGCTTCCCCATGCAGTTGCACACAACGGGAGGGCCACGTGACACACTTTTAGCGACGGACTGGCCAAGATGGCTCGTAGTGTCGGCTGTGGTACGACACGAAGTAAAACGGAGTATGGACAGTGTTTCGGCTCGGTGTTTTGTATTATCAACCGCGTTGTTGATGTCGTCATCTAGCCTATGTAGCCGGGTAGTCACACGGTCACACGTTTCTTTGACCGGTCGGCGCGCGCACATTTCTATGCCTCCTCGAGTGCCCTTAGAAACAGTGGAACTTGTCGATGGGTGACACGACGCAAAGGGATATAGCAAAAACAGTCGGGGCTACACAGGCTAACGTCAACAGGAATGTGAACGCATTCCAAGAGGAGGGGCGTATTGGCGATGCCCTTCGACATTGCAAGCGCCCTGCCCTCCTTTGGTACGGTGCAGGGGCTGTGTGCAATCACCGCATAACCAAGCAGACGACGCTGCCGCTATAAAGGGCTTTGTGCGCACTCGCTTAATCTCTCCCGTATCGCCGCACGCCTCCGCGGCACGGCACTGGCCGTCCCGGCGGTCGACGCTTGCATGATATTATTAAAAATTGGACCACTGTACATAGAAATGCCCCCCCCCCCCCCAAAAAAAAAAAAAATAAATAAAATCTGCGAAAATTTGGTTTACCAAAAAAAAAACTATAATATGATTGACACAGTCATAAATAAAACGGAGGAAGATTTAAGAATCAGTAAAATACATCATATGATGCGTACATGCCGACTAAAAGATATTCTGTCAGTTCGACTTTACGGGAAACAATAATTATAACAATTACAGTGAGACTGAAATGGAACCATGTATTTTGTAAGATCACATAATCTCGCAAAAAATGAATATGTTTGGACTTCTTCATGGCGCTATCTTCATTTACAATTCATTAAAAATATTTGGCGGCTTGAGACACAGATCTATAATATTCAATAATATGTGAAAGTGTTGTGTATTTTTACGTGTGGTTTGGAAATGTTTTTTTTGTTTTTTTATAAAATAAGGGCACTCTGAACACACGCCACAAAAGAAAAACATTTAGCGCAATATTTAGGTTGTGAGACGTCCTTTGAGTAAGGATCAGTTCCGGAATATTCTTCTATATTCGCACTTTGCTCCGAAACAAAAAGAAAAAAAAAGAAATGAATAGAAGCGCAAGACAATACTAAAGATGGGTTGCGGGTCCTATATTTTTTTTTTTGTCCTAGAAAGTGTTTTTATCACTTACTGTTGTACACAGCTACTTCAAAATACTATTTTAAAATTAGTTCAGTGTTCCTTTGAACAGGTACTAAAATCACAAAAAAAAAATATATTTTTAAGAGACTTCGATAGGACACGCGTATATGACAGAATAGACTTCCCAAGGAAAATTAGCGGTATATTTACATTGAGTGACTAAACTCGAGCCCGCGCCGTGCTATTTCTGCGTTTACTTTGTGGCGAAGTGCCAAAAGAGGCGGGAGTTACGGACTCGATCTTCACTCAAGATCGGTCTGAAGATTTAAATATTTTGCTAATTTATGTTTTTTTTTTTTTAGAACGTTTGGTTATCTTGTTTGTGCGCCATACGTTTGCATCCGGGAACCTAAAAATAATTTAAGGGAGTTCAGCGTCCCTCTAAGTGGTCATGAATTACGCTGAAACACTTTCGATGCCTTCTGTAAGAAACGAGAAAGAACATCCTTCCATTAGGCGTTACGCTGATTAACATGTTTCTTTAAGTTAGAATACCAGACAGGGCCCACTATAAATTGATTAACTTTTCTTTTCAAGAAGCTAGCTTGCCTTCTGTGGTGTCACGTTTTAAAGTTCATTTGACTTATCTCAGTTTATTTTCCTTTTTTTGGGGGGCCGGGGGGGGGGGGGGGGGCTATGCCGAATCGCTAAATGTTTGAACACATAATAATAATTTACTATTAGCTCTTGAATGTTATGGCGAAACAGTGAAGTTTAATTCTCATTACAAGCCCACACAAATCCGGACACTGTGTAGTTAACCTCCAAGAGCAACACTTCCTTCAATTAAGAGGGGGCTAATATATTTATTATGCATCTGGTGATCAGCCACTCACGGAACGATTGCTGTTGTCTTTGAGATCAAATTTCCGGGTCAACCTGAAAAACTGTTCTGGATCCTATGCATTTGGAAACATACAACATAAGATGTTCAAAGACAAAGTCTCTCGGAATGCTGCAGCTAACCATTGCTCCCGATCTCCTGTCAGCAAATTAGAGACTTTTGAGAAAGTTGCAGTGTTCAGTAAGATGTTTTTCGAACGAAACGCTCTTCACTTAGTGGAGCTCGGTTAATTATAGGGAGAGTGCTAGCTCGGAGCACGTGGACGAATAGCTGGCGCTGCTGAACCAATCCGCCGAAAAACTCAGCAAGAGGACGAGACGAGAGGGAGCGGTGACGTCAGAGCGCTCAGCTCTGGATTAAATGATTAGCTGGTAGAACAAACGCTAGATGTCTTTGTATCACTGCACCCCTCGGACGCGTGAGAACGCGGAACGCTGGCGCCCGGCGTTTGGCTTTCGCATTCGAACGCCTTCAACGCCTGCAGTCAGCCTTTGTATTATGAAGAACTAAATCGAAGATACGTTGTCGCCGTAATTCCTCTAATAATATTTTTAGTTTATCCGAACAATTCCGGAATATTTAGACCAAAAAACGCAGTTCGAGTTGTGACATTAAGCAATGCGAGCGTGACGTTTTGCATTGCTTAGCATCACAACTCAGACTGCATTTTTTAGTCTAAACATATGTTTCATATGTTTTCGGCATCGTCATTCGCTGAGCTCCCACCGTAAGTTGTGGGTGATTGGCTGTCCAAGTGTTGTACGTGAAAGTAGGCGCAAAGACATTTCTTAGAGTGTTGCACCGAGTGTGGCGTTTCCCGGGGCTCAATGCTACAGCGCACACAGTTTGTTTAGGTCTGAACACATCTTAAAAGTCGTGACTGGTCGACCTGTTTCCGTAGTTTGCAGCGATTGGTTCTCCTAAGTGCCTCGTGGGGACGTCGAGGCTCCAGATTTTGTTTGTGAGCAGCCTTATTTTCGGTGTTTTCCCTTCGCGACCTGACGGAATCGTCGTCTTTCTCAACCGCAGAACCAGACTGAGGTTAACGTCTACATTCCGGCCGGCGTGTGGTATGACGTGGACCGAGGGACTGCCTACTCAGCGACGTCCGGGCGTTATCAGGCATTCCCTGCGCCCTTCAACGTTGTGAACACCCTGATCCGAGGTGGATCCATCGTTCCCGGTCATAAGCCGGCTCTTACAACAACCGAAAGGTGAGATGTCTGGAGATCATGGCGGCCACCTCCTTCCGCACTACTAATGAGACAAAGGAGCAAGCTTACCTCGATGTTTAAAACACGGAACTGTCGTTAGGGACATATTAGCAAATTTTAAAGTCGAAGAAAAATTGGTCTGTGCATCGGTGTACTGAGCTGTACAATATTCTTTAGAACTACGTCTGGGTGGCGCAAGAAATAAGACGGGGACAAGATAAGAGAGGCCGTGCCCTGTACACTCCTCTCATATGTGGTTCGTGGCGGCTGGAGATAGGTCCACTTACCCGTGCCTTATGACGATGTCGGGTGCGCAAGAAGTGAATACCTGTGACTCAGAGTCATGTAGAAGCAATTTTACATCGCCCCGCGTATATCATTCCGAGTCGCATATGCGGAATTACGTGCGAAGTAATTAGACGGAGGAAACCTAGGCTCGCTGTTGGGCCGTTTAAGAGACACGACACGAAGTTGTTTTCGGGAAAGAGCACACAGGATTGAAAAGAGCCGGCGGCGTTTCCGTAACGGACGCGACAGCATGTTCACTGAGTAACTAGTGTACCGTTGTGCATGGAGTGCATGGTAAAGCATGAGAGCTCCCATTTTCTTTGTTTACTTTGTTCTGTATTCAAAATAACTTCAAGTGTTACGTGCGTGCCCGTCTTTTCTGTGACCAAGATTTTGTGACATTCCGTGACCAAGTTTTTGTGACATCGACGTTCTTAGCTTTGTACCCTCTAGCAAATTATTTTGACATGCGTGACGTTACGTCTCTGAAAAGTTTTTATGACATCAACTTCCAAACTTTGTACCCCCTACCAAATTTCTTTTGACGTGCGTGACGTCACTGCGGTGACCAAGTTTTTTTGACATTCTGTGACCACGTTCTCGGTAGATTGATATCCCAATTTCGCACCCGTTCTAAGTGCCGGGAAAGACGCAGTTCTACGCCAAACAGCTCAGGAGAAGACGTCTCAATTGAGAGGTCTTTTCCTCTGCCTTATTCATTCACTTTAAACTTTTTTTTTCCCTTTCATAGAGTTCAGGGTTTTAAACATCAAGAGGAACTACCACCAACTCGCCTGCGCACTTGCTATGTTTCCATTAGGTATGCTTGCGCTGCACGGGCTCGTAAAACTAGTTCGAAAATTGCAGCTCTCTGTACTGCTTACAGCGTTAAAAGGAGAGGTATGATTATCGTACGGGTCACAGCGGTCCCAAGATTTTTGCTCATAAAGTGGTATTAACACGGGTGATGTTTTTTTGAGGAGGGAGTGAGCGGGACGTCAGTTGTCGGTGGAATCAGCGGAACACCCTCCCCGACCCCAGCTTTACACACGCGGCGGGGACCGTAGTAGGATTTCAATGTTACTAGACGCATTAGCGGTCGCACCCTCGACAACAGGGCTCGGTGCGCGCTGACGAGAGTATAAAAATGAATCCGCATATAAAACCGTGATACACGATTATGGCAACCACGCTGTTAAATGCTGAAAACGAGGAACTGCTTCCTGCTAAAAAAATGTTTCTTGAATTGGTGGATGCAACACAAAGAACGTGGAATCCAAAAAAATATGTATATATATAAGGGGCACCTTGAGGAAGGCATCGGTGCCTCGAACGACATGCGCACGAGCGCAAGCCGCCGCAATCAGGCGATCGTAATGACACCGCCGGTATCCCGCTGAGCAAAATCTGTAAAGTTGCCAAACAGGCGAACAAGCTAAGTCCAATTGTGAAGAGATTCATGCCAAGGTGGGGATCGTTGTGTGCAGCCCGAGTGGTAGTCTCCTGTATACTGAAAATGCCTTCCCGATTGACGGTTGCCAGCTATCACAACAAGTGTGCCCTTCTTTTTCGTACAAGACAGAAAACGTGAACGACGTTAACGACGTGAATGACGTGATGAAGCCTCTCTTGTGCGTTTCTGCATTCTTCGTTCTGTTTTAGGCATGGCGCTGTAGCTGCTGGTCGAACCTAATTAATAAGTTAGTTTTTCGTTTTACCACAGATTTTTCGGCGTTTTAGGCAAACTTTCGAAAGAAGGACTCGGTGCTGTCATTTTACAAGACCCCAAACAACACCACCAGAGATCTCACACTTAACAGTAGCTTTTTTGATAAAAGACTGCGCACCAAATTCTATCTCCCGCTACTTAAAGGCGAGCAGTTGGCACCTTTTTGCGGCGTACATTAGAAATACCGGCCTTGAAAAGCTTTCCTTAATTTTTGTTTGAGTTAAGCCTCAGCATTTTGCTGAGGTTTCACCCAAAGCCCAACTTGGTGTGATTCTCGCTATTTTCGAAACTGGATTTGCCCATGTCGTCCAGCAGCACCGAAAGAGTCCACGGACTCTTTCGGTGCTTCTTGACTGGCTGACCCGACCAGACACCTAACGCGCACCTCGAGGTTGTGACGAGCGCCTGAAGACAGGCACTGTACGTCATCACAATCGTGAGCTGAGGTACAGCTAACACCTTCCACAGTGCTTAGGAATTTTTGTTGTGGTTGTAACCCCGGAGGACCCTTGCCGTTGCAATTCCTCTTTACATTACTGTCTTCGCCTGTTTCTTGGCCTAGGCATTTCAAAGTTGTAAGTGTTCGCTGTTTTGACATTCTTTATTTAAGGTTACCTCCTCGTACACACAAACATATATATTACCTTTTCGAAGCTACATTTGTTGCTGCTTACCCGCTATCAAATATGCGTTCGGAAAGTGTTGGAATCACGGGCGCTGCAAGAGTAGCGGTGTGCTGCGGGCCAGCGAACAAGCATTGTATTTATTGTGACACCCTTGGCGGCGATTATGTGTAGCAAGTGCAACAGCGCCAGAGCATGGGGAAACCAGAAATCGCTCAGATGTGTTCAGTATATAGGAGGCTATGCACGAGCAAAAGCTCCCCCATTCTACTGAAATATCTACGCCCACTCAGCTTCGCTCAAAGGAGAAACGTTAGTACCACATAATGCGCATTTCAGAAAACAAACGAAGAATGCTCTCCGTGTGAATACCCCTTAAAGCGTAACATAATGAGTATTGTTACATAACCCTGTCGATTAGACTCAAAGGAGAATATGTGAACTTGCCTTAACGGAATAGACTTTACCTGAACCTTGGCAATCACACCAACGTAGCGTCTTAGTGAAACCCCACATTTCAATTAACAAGTTTTGCTCCTATTTTTTTATGTCAGTCGACAGAACCCTTTTGTTTTGCTGGTTGCACCTGACCGCAAGGGCACTGCACGAGGACACCTGTTCTGGGACGATGGAGATTCAATCAGTACGTATTGCAACAGCAAATGTTTGCCGGTTGTTGTTTTGCTTGTTTATTCTTGCGATTGTATTTTTGTCGCATCTCTCGATAAGGCAAACCTTAATCATATGTTTTTACAGCGGAGCTGTTGAAAGCGAGGTCCCCCAGGATTGTGTCCGCGAGGAAAGTAATGATGACATTGAAATCCGGACAGCTAGCGCCATCTATGAACCACGGTGGCAAAAAGACAACTGGTTGCCACCGTCGCTCATAGATGACGGCACCCTTTCTTCGGGATGTAGAGTGCCTTAATACACACGCGCGCTTTTGCTTGAGTGGTGACATCTGAGCCATTTTTTTTTTGTCCCAATCGTTTTTTTATGCAATTTAAAGTTCGCGCAATACGGTGTCACGCAGCTCGAGCGCCTAGTTTTGGCTAATGTAAAGACGCCATTTTGCCGCTCAAGTCACGTATCCAGTGCGCCGGAGCGTCACGCGCTGGCACATTCAGGGTAACACTGGATGTCTTCACCCTGAGCAAGACAGACATGTAGGCACCCTACTCGGAGAAAGAAGAGCGGAAGGAGCGGCGATGTGCGCAGCAGCGCGAATGGTTCCGCAGCCGCCGGGAAGCCACTATTGACAAAAGTTCCACTGCATCCAGCGCTTCAGATTCCCTCACCTGAAACGCCACCGCCGAGAACAGAAGCTACTACTTCGCTGCTCCTCCTCCCTCACCAGAGTGCAAAGGCCGAAAGTTTTTTTTTAGTTGGGCTAAATTTACTTCGGAATGCTTCGGCTTTGCTTCGGAATTCACATTGCAGCCTTAAGCTTCAGCGAGATGAACTCACTATTGTTAGCATGGTATACTGGGAATCAGTTATATAGATACCAAAACTTCCAAGGAACTTGTTGAATCATTAACTTGCCACCTCTTTGAGTGACATATAGTATAAACTGACTTTTTTAAGGTTTTAGTTTGCATCTGAAAGGAATGGGCTACAGCAAGGCCAGCACATGGGAGGATATACAGAATGTTTAATTTTGAATCTAAACAAATTAAAAATAAAACAGCGTATCCGAAAGTTAGACGACTACCGTCTTTACCAAGCATTCATAAGGCTCGGCGAACATTCAATAAAAAATAATAGCTATAGTAATTTGACTGATTAGGTCTTAGGGGGCATGTAGCAATAGCAGTATAGACAGCAATTACTGTTCGAGCCCAGAAGATTGTAATAATGTGTAGAGATGTAATGGTTTTTAAGATGTTAATTCATAAATATTCATGTGTGTTAGCCTGACTTCAAATTGCGGTAAAAAAAGGGCGTCGCAAGTCATGCCCACAATGACAATCAGAAGAGTGACGTAATCGTTCCAGTCATAACATCACTTGTGCCGTCTGTGTACCAATCAAGGACAGGCTGCCGAGATAGCGATAAGGTGGCTGAAAGGACTACGCCACTATTCTAAGCGTTATTGTAAGCTGGGCTCGGCGCAATTTTTAAGTTGGGATAAAAAAAAGCCAAAACTGAATAATTGATATCAGGAAAACCATGGCATTTTTGCTAATTCTTTGAATGGGTTTGAGTTCTAATAGTAAATGCTGTCAGTACTAATTTTACGTGAAGATTCCTGAAACTAAATTTTTTAAAAAGTAAAATACGGTATTTAGTCAATTAGCCTTTTAACCATGACGGCAATTCCCTTATCTAACATCCGCCAAGCCTGATAAATGCATGATAAAAACGGCACACGTCGAAATCTCATATTCTATTTCTTAATCTCTTCGAATTATAAGCAGACACCCTGTGTAATCAAACTAAATAAATAGGTTCGAAGTGTACTTATCGCTACTGTTTTTGGTCGTGCAAGCATTCTCCTACGCCATGCACTAATTTGGTTCTTGCAGTTCAAAACAATTATTTTAGTGTGTTTTGTAACTGCGTCATCTTTATTTGTCGCAGTGCGATAAATCAAAATATTTGATATGTAAATAAGTTACAAAAATTATTGATTACATGGGAAAAATTCATTGCGGGTTTTCACGTTTACGTCCTATTATTGTTTCTTACTCCTGCGACGATCATATTCCAACATTCTTGTACAAATATGAGTGCGGGACTCGAGTAAGCAGAAACACAATTCAACCCGTAAATAGTGACCCTACGCCTTCCCAGCATATAAAAATGAATGCTTAAAATGGAACGAAATTATTCTCAATTGTCGTGACCTAAATTTATTCCAAAAATATTACTTGCTTTTTCTCTGCTTGCGCTCTCAAATAATGACTGATATAAACAATTTTTAAGAATGACCAATAATCAGACGTGACATCTTTTCAGCCATGTGTAAACTACCATCTTTAATACGCGTTATAAACAAACAGTTCTATAAAAAAAATACTTTAGTTCGTACAGGTTAATGCCGAGTACAGGGTTGGAAAGTAACGATATAAACAGACAACACTGTTTTTAATGCTGACGGGTTTCCAGTATCGCGAAACGAACGCTTATTACTCCTACTGCTTGCTACTTTTGGCAAAGTCTTTATGTAGTGTAGGTTAGTCTTTTCTGTTTGAACCAGAAGATAATATTTTCTTCTAACTTGAATGTGCAGAGTCACCTAACCACTTTGGAACGATTCTTGAAAGCATGCCTCATTGTAGCTGTTGTCCATGCTATAAAGGCGTATTTATAGGATATTTGCTAAGATCAGTACAGGCTAAGATGACTCATAACTGTTTTATGCCATTTCAGATACCATAGAAGACGATAAATACAACATTTATGAGTTCTTACTAGTAAAGGTAAGTCTGTACTTTGTGTCAATTTGGATTTTGAAATCATTCGTTTTTCATTCTTTCTGAAACACGTCTCAGTTTTTTGTGTGATATATCTGAGCCCACAGAGCTGCTTTGATCAGGGTCATATTCACAATAAGAAAAGTTGAGATACATTCCATATACTTCGCATCTATTACAATTGTTTCTTCCGAGCATTGGTGAACTTCGCAGCTATGCCCGAAGTTAAGAAATTACCATACTTTACATTGATAATTCTTTTCCACACTAAACAAATTAAGATGACGAATACCTGTATCCTGCATATCACATTCCTCTGCTACGAAAGTTGTAGGCTTAGGAGAGAGCCTCATTAAAAAGGAAAAAAATATACATGTACATGTATATGTCCATGTATATATGTACATGTATATACACATAAATCCAGAATATACATCCTTGATTTGATACTTTTCCTTAGATTGAGGCGGTTTATTTTGGTCAGTTTTAGTGTTCGATATACGACCGAACGCAAGCGCTGTACGTTCGCATTAGCGTTGCGTGTGCAGCACTGCGCGTGATCGGAGCTCAAACTGCGGTCTTCAATTGGCGTATGGCGACGACGTGTATCAGCAAATGGAGAGTGCAAACTTCGTGATGAAACTGTTTGTATACTGCGTTTCAGCTTAACTCTAAGCGGTGCCAAAAGCTATTTGCATGAGATACAAATACACAGACTATAACGAGATGTCAGGATTCATTATTCACGCTTGATTGGATTGGCTAGAGATAAAGTCCTTTGATACTTATTTTACAAGTAACGACAACACTACGAATACAAATGACAAAGCACATTCCGCTAAAACAAATAGCGGAATTTAGTTCAAACCTCTGCTGTGCGCCGCCATTCGCTTCCTAAAACCCGCACAGTCACGCTGTCGGCGCTTCAAAAAATGTCGCTACTTGTAGCAAGCTCTTATCTAAAGACTTTAGCTAGAGACAACACGCGCCTAGAAACACAGTAAAGAAATGCCGTGATCTAGCTCTTTCTGGGGAGCTTAAATTCACTCGTAGCGTTGGTGGCATTCGCTCGTAAACTGAAATGAAGTACACTGAACGGTACAGTCGGCACTAAAACAACGTTAGCCCAACAGATCGATGGCGGTAGCGAATAAATTGCCAGACTTGGTGCTACGTTGTCGCGGACACACAAAAAATTCAGAGTACACAGATCGTTACCGCTTGTCAATCTCCGTGGCGCTTCCGCGGACAACTATCGTATCCCAAGAATTGTTTTCTTCTACATCGCCAATGTTATCGATGGTCACTGAAACTTAATAGTCTTAAAATACGTCTGATGACGGTAAAGCAATGAATAAAAAAGACGATATCGCTCCTGTCAACGAGCAAGCAACATGTGCACAGTCATGAGTGGCCTGCGGAAGCCTGAGACAGAGCAGTGGAATTGTGAAAGCGAGCTTGGTTTCTGTTTGTTGACTTCCCAGATGTTACAAAATAGCACACGCCAGGCAGTTTTAGCCCCGTTGTGTTGGCGTGACTACAGCATTAGGTGTCACCCCCTCGGCGGCTCGTCAATTGCTCCTTTGGGTTAATATTTTAGTGAAAACTGTACGAGGTACTCAAACTGTCCGACGACTTCGCTCAAACATAGAGTTGCACAGGCGAGAAGGAAACGACGAACTTATTTTACTCTTCCGAACCGCGGAGGCTATAGTTTTGCAGTTTGCCTTAAATGGTATGCTCCCCCTCTATTGTTACTTCTTCAAATGTTATGGTTACCACTACACATATATTCAGAGTGTAACTTAAGTCTATACAATCATACTTAGCCAAGCAAGGCAGTTCAACGGGATGACACTTTGGCCTTGTGTGGGCTTCACGGACCCGAGAGCCCCCAAAACAGTGTAGCCAAAACTGATACTCTCTCTCCAGTTTGGAATTTTAACCCTAATCTACCAAATATATTGTAGAGTACAATAGGCTTCAATGCCTGGTAAGCTTGCTGGCAACTGACTTCTTTGTTTTTCAGTTCCAAAGCAAATGCCAGAACTAGGTTTTCCTTCCGATTGTTTTTTTTTTTTTTTTTTTGTGAACTTGCATCAATATAGCCTAAATCGCCAAAAGGGTGCCAGAGAGGCGTAACTGTCCGGTTCGATTACTTTCTGGAATCTTTGAGGCTATATCCTTATAGCCTCAAGAATTATACTTCGTTGCTTGTTGTTCGGTTGTCATGTGACTTCGTTTGCTCATATTCTTCTCTTTAACAAATAATCGTAAGAGACCACAAAACCGTCCAACTTGGCGTTCCTCTGGCTAGTTAGGACCAAATAAATGTACTTCGACACTAACTAACGCCTTTGAGGAAAACCGCAAGTTCAAGGATTGTTAAACACGGGCCAATTTAGACGTTAGTCTCGTGTGCTATCTTGCTTAACTCTTTTAAACACCCAAAACCATGATACTGAGGGCGCGAACTGCATTAGGACGCATTTTAAAAACACGTTATTAAAGCCTCCGACGTAGTGAATCGAGTCGAAGTCATGGATTTTGCACCTAACGCAGCCAGCGTGCACAAGACTTAAAAAGTTTTTTTTTTTTTCCTTGCGCGTGCAATTTTTAAATCCGGAGGAAAAAAATTGATACTTAATATTTACGCTGAAAAATCATTACTTCGTTTCAAATAAAAATGTGTGGTCTGGACGCAAATAGTAATTGCCATTAATACTGCAATTCCTACATGACCAATAAAACTTATAATTTAAATGTCAATTAACAAATTCTAGTTAATTAGTCAGCTTAGCATAACGATTGCCCACTCATCTAAAGTCCGCCGATCCTAATAACTTCATGGTGAAGACGGTACTCCTGTAACTCTGATCTGAGTTTTGTTTAAAATAGTTTCGAATTAAAATCAAACACCTTGTATATCTTTTTTCACCAGAGGGCAAGAGTTGTGAAATTGTTGACTGGAGGCCATATTGCTAATTAATGGAACAAATTCGTTTGCCCGGGTTAATTAACATTTATAATTATTAAATGGAAGATTGCAACGTGCACTTTAAATGTCCGATCTTGCACAGCTGACATACTTATGTAATTCATACACCACATATATTGTGTGAAGACATATGGATATTATCAATATTAAGTAAGCTAATTGGTTAAGCATTTTGAATATAAAATGCGAGGACAGCAAGAAAGCAAAGACGGTCCTTGTGAATATTTTTGCGTATTATGTTCAATAATACATTTGGAAATGCTGCTGCTAAATAAGCGAGAACACTTGATGCGGCAGATGAGGGGCTAAAAATCTAACCAGATGGGTTATTTTGAGCTATTATCTCAAAGAATTAATTTATTTACTTGCGTGTCTTTTACATCAGAAAGCAATCCCTGGAAATTTCAACGCCGTGCCGAGGCGTATTCAAAAGACATCGGTAGCGCATGCTCCAGTCAAGAGATTGAGAAAACCAAATTTCAGATCATTGAAATCCCTGCCACAATACATACACTTCAAAACTAAAAACTTCACTAAAAATATACCTTAACGTTAGCACTTTGGAGGTGACCACCTGACCTGTGCTGAGACAGTACCCCAACGCCGATTTTCTCCATTTGTGTTATTTAATTCTCAAGTTTCTACAGTGATATAATTTGTATACTTACGTAGTACATTTTCTATTTTTATTTACATTTATTGTAAATTACATGGATGTTATCTGAAAAAATACTTTAAGAATGCATGATACATATTTTTCAGGACCTTCTTATTATCAGCCGGACGAAACGAGGATATGCGGATAATGTGACTCTGGGAAGAGTGAGGGTCTTCGGTGTCTCTACGGGGCCAACAACTGTTTCTCTTGAAGGCAGAAGCGTGAAGTTCGACTACAATGAAACAACTGAGGTATTTAACTTTCATTGCACAATACACAGTTTAAAATGTGCTACACGTAACGTTGATTGCATTGATTACGTACAGGAAACGTGTGTCTTATACAAACGACACTGATTGCTTGCTTAACGGTTGAAATTTATTTTACTTTCCGCAAGATGTATGGTGGCTTTATGTTGTTGTGAATCACCTTTTAAACTCTTTTATGATGAGCAACATTACCGGTTTACCATTATCAAAATTTAAACTAGGGAAGCACACAATTTTTACAGGATAATTGATATTTACTTCAAGGAAAGTGCACTTTAACCAGATCAATCAATGTCCGCTTTGTTGATTTTAGTTACCATACTGATGTTTGTTTACCTTTGCAAGGACGTGGAACTGCATCACATAACGCTTAAAGAGCAAATCGATAGTTGCTATAGACGGCAGCATTGAGTACAAGTTTGGGAAGCGAAGACATATTTGTAAGTTTTAAGTATGCACCTGCACGCTGTGCAAGTGCATCAGCTTCTCATACAGCATTCCATCGTGTAGACTAACAATGGGTTGTGCGTTCGGAAATTATCACAACTAAATTTCAGTAGGGTTGCCTATAAAGAAATTTACGGCTCCTATGATAGTGTAAACGGGGCATCCAGTTCCAGTATAATTTGATTTTTGAAGTATGAACAACTGGATAACATCGTGTGTTTATTGGATTACATTTTTGGTAGGTATCCGTGATTGAAAAACAAATGCCACTGAATCTTGGAGCTTGTTGAGCAAAACATGGTGGTGGAGAATTAAAACGAGCACACATTGCCCCTCATCCCCCATAACGAACGAAAACAAGACAAATACTTAAACATTACAAACAAATAAACAAGAATAAATAGCGAACCCGCCCGCGGCTACCGGCTGCAGGTTTTGTATTATGCTGTGGCTAGGGTTACGTCCGGACGGAGCACTGAAACGTGTATACCTAACCCTCTCCCCCCCCCCCCCCCCCCGCAATCCTCTCTCTCCCCCGTGAACCTAGGGAGGGCGGAGATTTGGACGTAACTTGGGTTACGTCGGACGTAACGTTAGATACTTTGTTTGTATTAAAGGACCTCTCCAACCAAATATAGAGGTTGCTAGTTCCACATAAAAAAAAGAAAAATTTAAAAAAACCTTGGCGGGTTTTAGGACTTTCTCATGGATACCTCCACTAAATCTTAAGTTGTGATTTGGAGATTAAAGCATATACAATGCCTATAGAATATTTCGTAATGTAACTCAATCGATAAATGAGCTGTAACGTAACCGGATCAGGATGCAGGGTTCTTAAAACGCTCATTCTTCCGCTTTCTTCGCAATGTATGTATCGGTTCCTTTTGCGTCAGTCCGGCATTTGTACGGACGGGGCTTCTGAGAGCGGCTCTACATTAGTAAGAAGGGAAACTGCAATGGGCGTGACGTCACGATAAGTGGCTGTGGTATCCTGTTACCTGATAGGTTTTGTGGAGTGACGAAACGAAAAGGTGTTTCACAGTTTCAGCGTCTCAAATGAATTTCATGACAAAATCTTAGGGATTTCGTTCGATAATTTGAAAGCATAATGGAAGGTATGCAAAAATGTTCAAATCGTGAAGACCTACAATGCCTTCTTTGAGGCTGGGGAGGCACTTTATGCGCCCAGAATATTACAATTTAGGTAGCCGAAAGCACACTTCTAGAAAAGCTATTAGTGCGGTTAACAGTACGCACTATCATTCACACTCGTTTCTAATATTTATCAAGGTACCCCCCCTTTTCATGATGTTTTATTTTTTTTTTTGTTTCTCTCTTTTTTTGGAGGGGGACACGTGAGGGTGCGGTGCAATATAACAACATGAGTTAAAATTTACAACTTAGTATGTTCCTTGGAGGCGGTGGCAAACTGAAACCAGGAGTAAAACGTACATAGTTTTCGATACACTTTGTATTCAACAATCGTCTGCTGTACTTGTCTTGATGGCACATTGTAAAACGTACAGGAATTACAGTTTATATCTTGGCGCGTATGTTTTTATTAATGCGAAAGCAGTAACTGTTCCATGCAACGAACCGGCGTTCTCAATTTTTGAATCCGCTCCTAAAGCCCGGTTCAAACAGACCCGGACTGCGAACCCGGGCGCCGGAACCCGTAGTGACGTCAGCGCTCCCTCCGTACGGGTGGTGACGTAATTACGGCTTCCGGCTCCCGGATTGAAGAGTTGAAATTTTTTCAACTTACTCCTGCCCGGGTCGTGACGTAGGTTTCCGTAATTTCTCCGCGGCCAATCAGCGCGGCGCGCTTCCCTCCTCCGCCCTTCTTGCCACCGGCGTTCACGTGGTTCCGCGTGCGAATGTTTCAGTCGCTCCATGCTTGCTTGCAAGGAAAGCTCCGGCGATGAACTTCCCGCCCGTCACCGATGCGAGGAAAGCAGCTCGCTCAAGCTGCAAAGAAGAGTGCCGCTGCGTTTGACGTACCCGAGAAAGCCTATGGATTAGTTCAGCTAGTTCAGCGGTATCCCTGGATCTACGACAGGTATCGTAGCGACCACAAGGACCCGGACAAGTGAAAGAACTCGATACTGCTTTTAATAATTTATTGACACGGTTTTGAAGACACGGCAGGTGCTTGCAACCCGATGAAACGGCATCTTCAATGCAAATATGAGTGGCCGTTTGTAGAGGCAGGCAGTGGTTGGCTTGCTGGCTGCAAAGAGACCGGAAAGGCAGTGGGATGTTGTTAACAAGCAAATGTGCTAAGCTCCCAGCTTTTAGGGCATGCTTATTCACTACAATTATAATGAAGCAACTCATTTGTTCATTTTCTTTTTATATATACACAATGTTTTACCAGCCTCGGGCACTCTGCGACCGACAAAATGTCCTCCCCCCCGAAAACAAATCCTGGCTACGTGCCTAGCTGCAACCATTGTGCGTGCGAGCTACATCTGACACTTAAAAAGGTCAACGACACTGGTACGCGCTGTAGACCAGTTTTTAGGCAGTACTGTACGACCGCTAACCTAGGGTCTTTAACACCCGTCACGTAGTAGTGAAACGCGAACGTCTGCTGGTACGATGCTCACCCAGATCGAAACGGGCAGGGGTGGGGATGGAACCCAAGATCCCTGGGTTCTGCAGCGCGAGCTTTCGTGCAGAATTCACTCATAAGCAGCTTGTAAGCACACATTCTAGCTAGCACACAGAACAAGGAAGCACAACGGGCTTCCCTCATACATGCACTCAAAGGAGCACAACACCGTGACCAGATTTAGTGGACCGAAAGAATGTGTCGTACGAGCTGCACATGTGCATGCCATTGCTATTTATTTTTATAGCACAGACGCAGTAAAATTTGTCAAGCATGTGACTGTTACGAAAGCTGCTCTCGTGATCCTGCCGCGTTAAAAATTATATAAACGTGCTTTCACTGCGGGAGCGCACGCTCCAGGTGAGTATTCCTGCGAGCGACGCGCGGGCCCATGTGGAACGCCACTTGATATATAACATGAAAATAATCCAAAATAACAAGCAGCACACCCTACCTGGCTCGTGACATTCGGAAGCACTCGAAGAATTCCCGGCCGTCGGGGTCTTCGAACATCTGTCTCACGATGGTGGCATACGAGCGTTCTTCGAGGCTTCAGGAGCTCGCGGACTGCCTTTCGCTTCTTCTTCACGCTCCGTAGGTACTGCTCACACGCAGCCGCGAAAGTAGTCAGCCGACGCCAGTTGATAGTTATTGCATTTGTGACGCACCTCACTACACAAAGGTTCAATCGTGGCCGGGATCCTGCCGAGACGACGCCATCACGAAGCAAAGCGAGTGCCGAGCCGGCCGTACTTGCCGCGCGGCGCCCGGCGACGACGACGACCCGGCTTGACGACAGCCGCTGATTGGTTGCCTGGGGAGCCGCCGTGACGTCAGCTCCCGTATATACGGGGGCCCGTGCCGCGCGCCGGGCGCGTCGTTCAAATCAAACCGTGACTTCAGCTCCCGTATACGGGAGCCGGAAGTGATTACGTCAGTACGGGTTCCGGCTCCCGGGTTCCGTATTCCGGGTCTGTTTGAACCGCCCTTAACGGTACCTATAATTACCCTTTCTAATGGCGCGAAGCCTTTAGTCTGTAGCAGCGGATTCATAGATACCTTCCCATTTTCTCCGAGTCAGGGGCGCCTCGTGGCTCGCGCTGGGCCGCCACTCTCGTGACACGCGGCGCCGGGTATGCGACCGATTCTGCTCCACTCGGCGCCTAAAGCGGGTTTCATACGCAGCAATTCCGCGGTTGAAATCGCTGCCGCTAGTGGCGCGGCGGCACGGAGCGCGAGGTTTCATTTCACATGAGCGTTGTCTGCCGTTGCGATGGCCAATGTTGCTTGCAGCAAGAACATGTGCGCAGTCTGTTACAGTGGCTTCTAACAATAATTTTGATGCCTTAGTTTTAAGTTTTTCCTTTAATTTCACCTTAATAAAAAAAAAGCGTTCAAAATCCTAAATAAACCTTAATTTAATTGGTTTTGTTTTTCAAACTTCGTTTTTGCGGAGGGGTGAAACCTCGAATCATCTTCGGCAGCGTCGCCGGCAGCGCCTTCCTCAGTTGGAGAGGCTTTAACTGATATGGGCCGACCCGAACCTCATGGACCTGAGTAGTAGCGCAGTGGTTTCATACCGGTCTTGTCGGTTACCTTCCTCAGTCACCTCTTGCCCTTCGGTCCCATTGTTCCTAAAATCTTTGAAGCTGCGCGTCCTGACGCTTCGACACTTCACTGATCAACAGTTCATTGAACTGGGCACGATACACTTTGGCTTACATGGTGGAACGATCTGTGTTGGAAAAAACACGTCAATGTCGCTCAGTTATTCTCAATCTTTGTTTTTCTCACTAGTGCTCGCTCAAGCCACTTCCGATTAGCGTCTCCTGCGCTCGATCCAGTTGGTACTGAGGCGAGAAAAGTAAAAAAAGAGTCGCGTAATTCGTGGAGAAAACGAATTCCGAGGAAGTGGACAGCTCTCCTCTAGAATCTCCTGAACAGTTCCAACGCGACTGCTGAAGCAAAGAAGCTCGACCCGCTGAAAACAAAAACAAAAAACCGGAATCCAGTCGCTCTCGTGCTT